ACTACCACACAACAAATCCAGTCATTGGTACTTGCTGGCTTGTGTAGCCACTCGGTAACAAAAGTTCAACACTGCCCCCAGCATCCTGGAGCACTTCTGTTGTCTTTTGTACGTGTTTTGAGTTTTTATGTGCTTCTGAGTTTTTACGTGTTTTGGAGTTTGTATGTGTTTTTACGTGTTTTGGAGTTTTTACATGTTTTGGAGTTTGTACGTGTTTTTACGTGTTTTAGAGTTTTTACGTGTTTTGGAGTTTGTACATGCTTCCGAGTTCATACGTGATTTGAAGTTTGTATGTGCTTTATCTCTAGGGGCCACCGTAAATATACTTTTATTTATTCACTCCACATAAAATGTAATAAATAAATCATATAATACAAAAATCAACTATTCACATTTCAACTTTTAACTATTTAAATTTTCAGCTTTTTCCTTTTACAAATTTAAAGTGAAACAACACAAAACACTGCAAACCACAACACAATTAAATATAAATTAAAATATGAAAACAAAAAGAAACATGCACATTCTCTGTCAAATGGACCTGCATGAATAAACTTTCTGAATCCTTTATCATCTGCAACTGAAAATAGTTGTGGATGATTACTATACCTTTCTAATGTGACGTTGTTGTCCCTGGCTCTCTTTCTCTCTCTCCCCCTCTGGATCTGTTCCTGTGCTACTGAGTGTAACTACTGCCCCTCCCCCCTCTGCCCAGCGTAAAGCACAAGGCTCGCATGCTGAGTGAAGCAGAAAAAAAGTGCGAGAGAGAGGGTGAGAGAAAAAAAACAAAACAAAACACACGTGATGGCTCGCGATAAGGAGCCGGCTCGCGTCGTTCACGTCAAAGAGCCGGCTCTAAGAGCCATTTCGTTCGCGAACGACCCACCACTAATATTTAACCCCGTGCAGACGGATTCCCCATGCCAGTCCGTTAATCACCTCTCTGTGGTAACTTGCCTCCCGCGAAAGCGTTGTACTGATGTATCATTTGAACTGCGTTAACTCTGCCTTCATGTGTCTAGATTTCGATCTGGCGTCCTGCATCTGCCACCTGCCTGCTGGCTTGGACCACCTGGCCTCATCACTGACTCTACGGATACCGTTTCCACAGAATTTCACACTCCCTTCCCGAGTCCCACGGTCCCACTCCGATCATAAGCCAACTACACAAACCCTGTCTTGTTGCGTTTACCTGTTTTCCCAGCTCACTATTAATTTTCTCCCCTTTCTGTTGCAGCCTCTCACGGTCCCGATTTCGGCTTCCCCGCATCATCTATTTCCCCGGGTTTTTCAGTTCCTCGCTTGCTTCTCTGGTTATCCTGGGTCACCTTTTGTTAATATAGTAGTTTTTTGCTGCTCGCATTTGAGTGTGCTTTTGGATCCTTTTGGTGTACGTGCACCTCGGTGCCTGACAAATGACACTGACCAGTGTCCCATTCTACCTCCTCCTGAAGTCCCACTGCGCCCAAGTCCTCCACCTATTGGAGTTTCTAGTAACTACAGAAAACACCTAAATTCAACATTCTCAGAAAAGCCTCCTGGTGCAACTGCTCATGAGGATTCACCGCGCCCACCTGATGAAATTGCACACTTTCCAAAGAAGAGATACTTCCATTTATCTACTGTTGCTTTTCCTTGTCTCGATGATTAAAGATGTGTTTGTAGTAATAAATACATTTTTGAGCAAATACATGTTGAGATGGTATGCTTGCTTATGGTGGTTATGAAAGGATTCAAAAAGGATTATTGCTGATAAACTCTTAGCTTTTCCTACTCATGTTCTCCATGAGCTATTTTGATGTATACTTTGAAGATCCACTCACATTATTATTAAATATGTATATTCTCAGTAGAGTATATAGCCACATGTGAACAAGGAATACATTCAATTCTACCAGATACTCATTAACAAGTTACCTCAACATAAACAGTGTTGTGGAGTAATGGAATACATCCTCTATGCTGTTACGTATATAAAATACAAAATATGCGTAACTGTATTCCTTTACAGTTACCCTATTAAAAGGTGGTATTCAAAATACAGTTACTTTGTTGAAATGAATGGATTACACAGCGATATTTTCCTGTTTCATAAGGCTGTGCCCTCTCTATTTTTGCCCAAACAAAACACACATTAAGGACCCGGCCATCGCAGTCTACGTGGGCCAGGTCCTCAGAAGGTCGGGTAGGCCAGAAGTAAACGGCTGTGAAATTGGACGGTCTAGCCTGATCTACTCCCGCCCTTAATTAAGAATATTTCCGGTCGTCAGCGCCCCGAAATCTTGCTCTGTTTTTTGTGTACATTTTTAATTATCGACAAGCTAAAAAAAACTGTGTTGCGGTCGTCATCGCCGGCATGCTTCGAACTGCAGGCTCATCAGAGAAAATCATATCCAGGTAAAACTATTAATCTAGATGCATTTAGGAATTACTTAGCTAGTTTTATGGATAATTTTGGTGACTGAATGACAGCGGTCATTCAAAATATATGAACAAAATCTCTTAGAAAATGTTCTTCTATAAGTTTCAATTTATTTTCAATTATTCATATGATCCTGTTACTTATTTGTGTACATAAAATGGCAGTAAAATTGTCAGAAAGCTGAAAACGGTTAATTTTTAGTTCATAAAAAAGCTTAGCTACACAGATGAAATGTTTAAACTGTTATTTATCAGTGTTATCAGTATTTCACTCAAGGTTAGTAATCAATATATGCCATAATATATATGTCATAAAATAAATGAAGTCATACCTTTCTATTAAAACTGTTTATGCTGTTCTCCACCTTTTCCTTAACCAGACAAGGTACTGCAGGATTAACCAAGGTGTACCAGTCCTGGACCGTTTTTTTAACCAGGAGGATCCAAGGCCTGATTTTCGGCTAAGCAGGGCATCTCTGGCAGTGTTGCTAAATCTCCTGAACCAGGATCGGCAGCATGGATGGGGTGCCACAATTGAGATACTGGTGTATCTTTTCTGGTTGGCAAGTGGAGCATCCTACAGGGTGGTCTCAAGAGTGTTTGGGATGCCTCGTTCTACTGTCCACTACATCGTCCACCGAGTCACAAAACAGGTGTTGGCCATTTGCTACCAGGTCATCCACCTCCCAACAACTCCAGAGGACCTGGAGGTAGTGTCCCGTGGGTTTGCAGGGCTGGCACACCACAGAGCCTTTATGAAAGCGGTGGGTGGAATCGACGGCTGCCACGTACGCATCAAGTGTCCAAGTGGCCCTGATGGTCAGTCCTATAGGAACAGAAAACTGTTTCTATCCATCATCTTGCAGGCGGTTTGTGACCATCGGGGCCGCTTTATCGACACATACGTGGGCTGGCCTGGGTCGGTGCATGATTCCAGGGTGCTCCGCCACAGCCCACTGTACAGTCAGTCAGTCTACCCTCCTCCAGGGCATTTCATCCCCGCAGATGGAGAGTACCCATGCCTCCAGCGTCCACTCCCTTTCAGCACACCCTACAAGAGGCCAGTCCAAGGTGTGTAAGCCCAGCGCTTTAACAGCCATCATTCCAGGGCACGCACCATCATAGAGCGTGCTTTTGGAATGATGAAAACGAGGTTAAGGGCCATCTTCCTGCAAGTGCTGGAGGTGCAACACACCTTTAAACCCCACCACTCAATGTCAAATTAATTGTGTGTACACACACATCTATATATATATTAGGGGCATAGCTGGACTGGCCATCGGGCATACCGGGCATTTGCCCGGTGGGCCGCTGGCGATTTTTTGTTTTTATGGGCCGATGGATTTTTTTTTATTTTATTTTTTATTTTTAGGAAGGGTATATATATAATGAAAGGTGTTGGATTGGCCAATTGGTCATGATCGACTCTGGGCTGGACCAATTACAGCCGAGGAGGCCGGATGCACCCTCCCCCTTGTTTAGCAATCACGTGATTTTCGCGCATTGCATGCCGGGAACTCGTGGCAAAACAATCCAAGTACCGCATCAAATGCAAGCATTTGCAGCACCGCAAAACGTTCATTCTCCGGTTCCAATACCTTCTTGTTTTTTCTTTGACGCACAAAAAAGGAATGTACAAAACAAAAGGAGAACAATGCCGTACAAAGACAGACTCGACGAAAAGACAGAGAAAAGATACGAGGAAAAAATCAAAGAAGTGAAAGGGTTAGACCCTTACGAGCACACAGAGTGGACAAAAGACATTAGCGTGCTGCCCAACTTTCACCACGCTCAGATTTATAATTATACGGTTCTTGGAGTGAGTGCATACACTCATGAAGTTTAGTAACTTCAGGTCACTGCAACAAGCCCAGGTACAGTTTACCGACGGATGGGTGCAGGACCTTGGTCCAAAGATTCGCACCAACATTTGTTTTGATCCAGCATTATTTTTAATGCAGGGGCAAATTTAAAAAAAAAACTTACGTTCATTGCCCTAGGAACCGTTTTCTGCCACGCCCCAAAAGTGCTATAAAAAGATTATATATTCATATTTTTTTCCACTTTAAATTAGCCAATCTTTTAAAACTACTTCTCATATAAAGTTTTAATTATATTTCGGGGGTTTTAGCCCTTTAAATCGCAGTTTAATTACATGAGCGCACCGTTTTTTTAGCCCCCCAAAAAAACCTTAATATTTTCCATAAAATACATTTGAAGTAATATTTCACTTTTATTATAATTAGGCCTTTGGATGGTCCAAAGATTCGCACCAACATTCGTTTTGATCCAGCATTATTTTTAATGCAGGGGCACAGGAAATTCAATATAATGGTATATTATGATTTTTCACTTTTTCCCCAATGCTTTTTACCTTGTTGTGTTCTAAAATAAAATGAAAAAAAATATGTAAATGAAAATACAAGATCAGTTTGAACCAGAAAAAAACTTTTATTTAGAACAATGAACATGAACATTTATGTTTTTGGGAACGGGAAAGATATAAGTAAGAAAAAGGGAGGGAGAGGGGAAAAGCATATGTGGAGGTGTGGTGTGTATGTGGAGGTGTGTCAGAGTCCTCAGTTGACGCAGTCTTTGCAAATGAACACAATGTGGTCCTTACATGTGGACTTCCCGCATTTGCAGCAGGTGCCGACGACGCGTCTCCTTTTCTCATCGCAGAAGTCGCACTGTCTCCTGCCCTTGGAACTAGGGATCAGGGCGGGGCCTGCAGCAGCACTCTGCCCACTCGTCACGATGTCTGCAGCACCTGATGAGCGGGGAAGGCGTCCTCGCTTCAGTATGTGTGGGTTTACTAAAGCTTCACCCACTTCTTCAACATACAGCCTCCGTTTGTAATTTTTCTGCTGTTTCCAGGATGGGTCAATAGCGGTCCACAGCACGTAGGAGTTGTACAGTGACACGTCCAACAGGTTGTGGAAGAGTGCCACTGGCCAGCGATTTGTTTTCCTCCTAGAGGAATAGGTGCCAACAACCTAAAAAAACCACACACACACAAAACAGAAAATTTCAAACCTATGTATATTTTACACAAGAATATATGAGCAAGAATGAATAAATCTGTGCGTAACTGATGCGTGATGACACCTACCTTGTCAAGGTTGTCGACGCCACCTTTGCACCGATTGTAATCTTGGATGATTACTGGCTTTCGCTTCCCTTCCCCGCTCACATCCGGAGTGCGGTGTTTGTGCTCATCAAGAGCACATTTTTGCCACGTCGGGGGACATAGGAGACGAGAGTGTGGGTGAGCGTGAAGGCGAACGCAGACGACAGGACCGCTCTCCCTCTTGTCTGGAGCAATCGAGGCGGAAGCTCCGGCTTATTTTTCCTAATCGTTCCAACTAGGGCCACTTTCCTCTTCAGCAGCTCTTCTGCCAGGGCAAAGGACGTGAAAAAATTGTCACATGTCACCACGTTTCCCTGGAGCCCCTCCATTAGCTCCAGGGCCACCCGCATCCCCTGGTTCACCTCCGCGCAATCGCCAGCTTTGCCGGTGTATACCTGGAGTCTCCAGGCGTAGGAAGTTTCCACGTCGCATACAGCCCATATTTTTAGACCGTACCTTGCTGGCTTCGTTGGTATATATTGCTTGAACTTGCACCTTCCCCGGAACGGGACGAGCTGTTCATCAACACAAATGTCTCTACCTGGGTTGAAGAGCAGCTCCAGGCGATGTGTCCACAAATCCCACACCTTGGGGAAGGCAGCCAACTTGTCCTGACGGGGTCGGGAAAGCTTATCATCAAAACAGAGCGCCCCGCCGATTTGATGGAAACGCTTGTGGGACATGGTGGCTCGAAAAATATCCCGTCCGCATTTATCACCCCAGAGGCTGCGAGACGATTCGTGTCTTGACCGGTAAACACCGGCCAAGATGAGCAGCCCAACATAAGCACGCAATTCATCACAGTCCATGTCACGCCAGCCGGCGACTGCGCGTCTCCCGTGCGGATTAGTCATGGCCACCGTGTGCTGCACAATTTCATCCGTGAAGAGGAGTGCAAAGCTGGATGCCGGGTCCCTGATTCGGGCGGCAGCGTAGTGTGTCGGTCCTGGGGTGACATTTGTAGCTGCAGGAAAATAGCGGAGGGTCTCCGTATGAGTGGGGGACCAAACGATTTTGCCATTTTTTGCAGTCCATTCCGAAGCTGCTTCCTCCATCTCCCCTTCGCTCTCAGCGTCAGATGTTTCTTCGTGGGAACTGGACTCCAGCTGCTCTAGTTCCACAGAATTATCCGTTTCCTCTCCAGAATCCTCGGAGGAGGATGAGGAGTTATCCTGGCACTCTGAGTCCAGGACCATTTCCAACACTTCATCTGTGCTATAATATCTTGCCATCCTGAAAATGACTACTCCCGCTCTACTGCTCATTCTTATAACCTCTGCTGCATTGCATCTGCATAAACAATTTGAGCCCGCAGACAAAACCCAGTCTAATTTGGTTTCGGCCCCTGCTTTTATGTTTATTTTGTTTATATTGCAGCGTGGCCTTCTAACAGAGGAAAGACTTTTGAAGTTAGACACAGACACACTTATTTTTCTCTTTCCTTTTTAAATTTTTTTAGGCATAAAGACCTTTATTTTACATTTTTTAAACATACACACCATTGTCTAAGACTGTTAGTGACACAGAATTATCATTTATTTGAGCAGAAAGTCTATGGAATAAATACGAGAGTTACTTCATTTCCTTCACTTGCCCAAAAGTGAAAAAATGGCGCCACCTGGTGGACAAATATAAAAAGTAAAACTTCAAGGCCCTGAGTCCTCATTGACATCCAAAGCAAAATAAATAAATAAAATCATATAATAATAATTTTGGGATGAAAAATAGCTGTTGTGGCGAATCCACTAGCCAAAAAATGGATCGGACATCAATTGTAGAAACGATAGTTTTATATAAGGCTTCAAAAGGAGAATGTACAACAAATAAACTGCTCGACATCAGAGCAACATACAATGGCTTCCCAAACTTTCTTTTCTAGCTAAAAAACCCCAGAGTAACTTTCGTCTACTACAAAGGATTCTGGGAAACCCAGTTTTCTAATGAAAATACCTGTTAAATGCTCCCTTTTAGCATAAAATTAAATCTATAATTAACAGCCCTCACTAAACATGTGACTAACACTTAAATCACTTACAAAATAATCAAAATGCTGTTATCAAACAAAACTGCAATAAAGTTACAACAATAGCGTTTATAATGGAAGTCAATGGGGCACAAAACGGTCCCTAAGGTAATGGGTGTGGGGATTTTTGCTGCTCAGCCAGGCTGTTTTAAGAAATTCACACTGAAATTTTAAAAATCTTTTAAAAAAATAATCCTTTGGCAAGTTTGGCTATATTCCACTGAACACAGTGGAAATGGCATGCATTTAAAACAAAAAAGTGGCACAAAAAGGTCCCAGTATGACATAAGGGCTAGGGATCTTTTTTAATAGCACTTTTTCAAACTGTTGTCTGCTACAGAGTCACAAGTATTATACTAGTAGTAACATAGAATCCACTTTCTACGGTTTGCATATTTCTGAAAAACCTCTTAGTGGTGTGGCAGCCGTCAATTGAGCCAGCCTTGCAAACCCGTGGATGGACTATGCAGCGGACAGAGGGAGGAAGCATCCTAAAACTCTCTTTGCAGACCACCTTGTGTGATTCTCCACTCTCCGATCACAAAAGACAAACCACGCCCATATGGAAAAGATATATATATATATATATATAAAAAAAAAAAAACACCCAGCACGCCCCTGCGGGCGGTTTATCCTTCAAGCTCGGGTCCTCTACCAGAGGCCTGGGAGCTTGAGGGTCCTGTGCAGTATCTTAGCTGTTCCCAGGACTGCGCTCTTCTGGACAGAGATCTCCGATGTTGTTCCCGGGATCTGCTGGAGCCACTCGCCTAGCTTGGGAGTCACCGCACCTAGTGCTCCGATTACCACGGGGACCACCGTTACCTTCACCCTCCACATCCTCTCGAGCTCTTCTCTGAGCCCTTGGTATTTCTCCAGCTTCTCGTGTTCCTTCTTCCTGATATTGCTGTCATTCGGAACCGCTACATCGATCACTACGGCCGTCTTCTTCTGTTTATCTACCACCACTATGTCCGGTTGGTTAGCCACCACCATTTTGTCCGTCTGTATCTGGAAGTCCCACAGGATCTTAGCTCGGTCATTCTCCACCACCCTTGGGGGCATCTCCCATTTTGACCTCGGGACTTCCAGGTTGTACTCGGCACGGATGTTCCTGTACACTATGCCGGCCACTTGGTTATGGCGTTCCATGTATGCCTTGCCTGCTAGCATCTTGCACCCTGCTGTTATGTGCTGGATTGTCTCTGGGGCATCTTTACACAGCCTGCACCTGGGGTCTTGCCTGGTGTGATAGACCCCAGCCTCTATGGATCTTGTGCTCAGAGCTTGTTCTTGTGCTGCCATGATTAGTGCCTCTGTGCTGTCTTTCAGTCCAGCTTTGTCCAGCCACTGGTAGGATTTCTGGATATCAGCCACCTCCTCTATCTGCCGGTGGTACATACCGTGCAGGGGCCTGTCCTTCCATGATGGTTCCTCGTCTCCCTCCTCTTTCTTGGGTTTCTGCTGCCTGAGGTATTCACTGAGCACTCGGTCAGTTGGGGCCATCTTCCCAATGTATTCTTGGATGTTCGTTGTCTCATCCTGGACTGTGGTGCTGACACTCACCAGTCCCCGGCCCCCTTCCTTCCGCTTAGCGTACAGCCTCAGGGTGCTGGACTTGGGGTGAAACCCTCCATGCATGGTAAGGAGCTTTCTTGTCTTTATGTCAGTGGCTTCTATCTCCTCCTTTGGCCAGCCTATTACCCCAGCAGGGTACCTGATCACGGGCAGGGCATAGGTGTTGATGGCCCGGATCTTGTTCTTACCATTCAGCTGACTCCTCAGGACTTGCCTGACCCTCTGCAGGTACTTGGTGGTTGCAGCTTTTCTAGCGGCCTCTTCATGGTTCCCATTCGCCTGCGGGATCCCCAGGTACTTGTAACTGTCCTCTATGTCTGCAATGTTGCCTTCTGGTAGTTCAATCCCCTCAGTTCTGACTACCTTCCCTCTCTTTGTTACCATCCGACTACACTTCTCCAGTCCGAACGACATTCCAATGTCATTGCTGTATAGCCTGGTAGTGTGGATCAGTGAATCGATGTCTCGTTCACTCTTGGCATACAGCTTGATGTCATCCATGTACAGGAGGTGGCTGACAACTGCTCCGTTCCGTAGTCGGTATCCGTAGCCAGTCTTGTTAATGATCTCACTGAGGGGGTTCAGGCCTATGCAGAACAGCAGTGGGGACAGAGCATCTCCTTGGTAGATCCCGCACTTGATGGTGACTTGTGCTATGGGCTTGGAGTTGGCCTCTAGTGTTGTACGCCACATCCCCATTGAGTTCCTGATGAAGGCTCTTAGGGTCCCATTGATCTTGTACAATTCTAGGCATTCCAGTATCCAGCTGTGGGGCATTGAGTCATAGGCCTTCTTGTAATCAATCCAGGCAGTGCACAGGTTGGTCAGTCTGGTCTTGCAGTCTCGGCTGACTGTTCTGTCTACCAGTAGCTGGTGTTTTGCGCCTCTGGTATTCTTGCCAATTCCTTTCTGTGTCCCGCTCATGTATTGACCCATGTGCCTGTTCATCTTAGCCGATATGATGCCTGACAGGAGCTTCCATGTAGTACTGAGGCAGGTTATTGGTCGGTAGTTGGAGGGGACCGGTCCCTTCTTGGGGATCAGGACCGTCCGACCTTCGGTTAGCCATTCCGGGTGTCTCTCGTTAACTAGCAGCTGGTTCATTTGTGCTGCTAGACGCTCGTGGAGTGCAGTCAGCTTCTTTAGCCAGTAGGCGTGAACCATGTCGGGCCCTGGTGCTGTCCAACTCTTCATACTGGAGACCCTTTCTTGGATATCTGCCACTGTGATGGTTACTGGATCCTGTTCGGGGAGGTTGCTGTGGTCTGCCCTCAGATCCACTAGCCACTGAGCATTGCCGTTATGGGTTGCGTCCTTCTCCCATATGCTCTTCCAGTATTGCTCGGTCTCCAGCCTTGGTGGTGCTGTTCTCTTATTGTTCCCTTGCCACTGAGAGTACACCTTTGCTGGTTCTGTGGAGAACAGCTGGTTTATTCTCCTGCCTTCTATCTCTCTGGTGTACCTTCTCAAGCGGCTGGCCAAGGCTGTGAGTCTTTGCTTGGCAGTTTCTAAGGCCTCAGGTATGGACAGCTTGCTGTATTTCTTATGCACCTTCTTTGTCGCACCTTTCTGCAACTCCGTTAGTTGGCTAACCTCCCTCCGTGCTACTTTGATCTTGCCCTCTAGCCTCCTTCTCCATGGAGGGTACTGCCCCTTGTGGCTGTTCAACTTGTAGCCAAGCATCTCACTGATCACTGCTGCCGTATTGTAGATCAGCTTGTTAGTGTCGGTAATCGTGGTTGTAGGTATATATATATATATATATATACATATATATATATATATATATATATATAAAAAACACCCAGCACGCCCCTGCAGGCGGTTTATCCTTCAAGCTCGGGTCCTCTACCAGAGGCCTGGGAGCTTGAGGGTCCTGCGCAGTATCTTAGCTGTTCCCAGGACTGCGCTCTTCTGGACAGAGATCTCCGATGTTGTTCCCGGGATCTGCTGGAGCCACTCGCCTAGCTTGGGAGTCACCGCACCTAGTGCTCCGATTACCACGGGGACCACCGTTACCTTCACCCTCCACATCCTCTTGAGCTCTTCTCTGAGCCCTTGGTATTTCTCCAGCTTCTCGTGTTCCTTCTTCCTGATATTGCTGTCATTCGGAACCGCTACATCGATCACTACGGCCGTCTTCTTCTGTTTGTCTACCACCACTATGTCCGGTTGGTTAGCCACCACCATTTTTTCCGTCTGTATCTGGAAGTCCCACAGGATCTTAGCTCGGTCATTCTCCACCACCCTTGGGGGCATCTCCCATTTTGACCTCGGGACTTCCAGGTTATACTCGGCACAGATGTTCCTGTACACTATGCCGGCCACTTGGTTATGGCGTTCCATGTATGCCTTGCCTGCTAGCATCTTGCACCCTGCTGTTATGTGCTGGATTGTCTCTCTCTCTCTCTCTCTCTCCCTCTCTCTCTCTCTCTCTCTCTCTCTCTCTCTCTCTATATATATATATATATATATATATATATATATATATATTATAAAGTTTGTATCTGCCTTGTGTGAAACTTGTATGAAAAGCATATAAGAGTGAAAACAGATATAAGATCCCTTGAAAAATTATATAATGAAACTTGTATGTTTTGGATACTTACTAAAACAATATATGAAAGTAATGAG